GGAGAATCCATCTAACTGCAGACCAATGAGTATCTAGGGGATCAGACATGAATTGGCAAGCCTTATTGACACTGTAGGCAATGTCTGGTCTGGTTAAAGTCACATACTGCGATGCACCCACAATGGATCTGTAGAAGGAAGGATCTGCCAACTTTGAAGATGTTTGCTGAGTTTGCAGCTGGTCATCATAGGGGTTGGAACTCCATTGGCATTGACCATGTTTGCTTGAGACAGGAGATCTCTGATGTACTTTGGTTGTGTCAAAAGCATTGAGCAATCTGTTTGAAAGTTAACTTCAATGCTAAGAAAATACTTTGGTCTGTCAAGCTTTTTCAATGCAAAAGCAGTGTGAAGTTGGTGTATTAAGGTATGAATAAGAGTGTGATCAGACCCTGTAATCAGTATGTCATACACATACACCAGAGCATATAAAACAGTGCCTTGAGAGCAGTAGAGAAACAGAGAGTTATCACACTTGGATGTGGTAAATCCAAACTGGATTAGGGCTTGTGCCAGTTTTTCATACCAGGCCTGTGGAGCTTGCTTAAGGCCATAGGTTGCCTTGTGTAGCTTGCATACAAGAGTCTTGTTAGATGTGGCAAAACCTGGAGGTTGAGTCATGTAAACTTCATCAGTCAAAGTGCCATTGAGAAAGGCATTGTTGACATCAATTTGTTGGATGTCCCATTTGTGTGTGAGTGCCAAGGTGAGGATGAATCTGATAGTGGTGGGTTTAACAACAGGGGAGAATGTTTCAGTGTAGTCAAAACCATGTTCTTGATGATATCCCTTGGCTACAAGTCTAGCTTTGTACTTATTGATAGATCCATCAGCATTTTCCTTGATTTTGAAGACCCATCTACAACCCACAGCTTTCCTTTCAGGTGGTAGTGTTGTGAGAGTCCATGTGTGATTGGCCTGTAAAGCATCAAATTCAGACTGCGTAGCAGTGTGCCAGGAAGGGTGAGATAGAGCTTGTTTGATAGTAGTTGGTTCAGATTCAGTGTGTGCCAATAGTGCCTTAGGTTTTGATCTCCCAGTCTTGGCTCTGGTCATCATAGGATGATCATTAACCAAGAGTGAAGGTTGAGGTCTGTGGCTAGGAATGGATGGGGAGTGAGAAGACTAAGATGTGGAAACAGGGAATTTGGAGTGTGAGGATTTTTTTAGAGGAGTGGAGGTATAAGTATTTCCAGTAGTGGATAGAGGTAGTGTATTACCCTCTGGACGGACAGGGGACTCAGTCTCTGAGCTGGAAAGGCTGTCATTAGGGTCTATGGACTTTTGAGCAGCATTGTCAAGGTATGTAGAGGGGCCTGTTGCAGAGGTGTGAGGTGAGATGTCTTTTAAGGTGGGAGTAGGATTGGGAGCACCTGTCAAATTACCTTGAATAGCCTGTGAGGTAGTAGGTGTTATATGAGATGTAAAAATGCCAAGAGGAGGTGAATTAGTGGTGATATGGTCTATGGCCAGATTAAATTGATTAGGTTGCTCAGACATTGGCTGTCAAAGGGTCTAGGTGCCTAGACATGTGTTGAGTAGTTGTAAGTTCCATGCTTTGAACTAATGGGTCACAGTTTAAAGGGATGACGACTGGGACCTGAGGTGATGTAGTAGCTGTCTTGGATGGTAGTGTTGATGGACATGCAAGGGACTTGTTTATGGAAGCAGGGCTTGCTGTAGTATTTGACTGAAATAGCTGAGGAAAGGGAAAGTGTTCCTCATTGAAAATGACATCCTTAGAGATGTAAATTTTTCCAGAACTGCTCAGACATTTGAGCCCTCTGTGTTAAGGAGAAACCCCAAGATATACACACGCCTGGCTCCTTAGTTGAAGTTTGTGATGATTATATGGTCTGAGTAGAGGATAACAGGAACAACCAAATACTCTAATGGTTTTGTAGTCAAGGTGCTTATCATAAAGTGCATGGAATGGTGAGTGATGTGTAGTCAGTGGAGATGTTGGCATCCTGTTCATTAGATACACAACAGTAGCAAAACTATGATCCCAGTATGTTAGAGGAATAAATGAATGAGCTAGAAGAGTTAGGCCCATCTCAACAATGGTTCTGTGTTTTCTCTCAACTGAACCATTTTGATGTGAGGTATAAGGGCAAGTTAACCTATGTGTTATGCCAAGATTCTGCAAAAACCTAGTGAATGGTCTGAATTCACCACCAAAGTCAGATTGAACTGAATTGATTGTAAGATCAAATTGAGTTTGAAAAAACTTGTGGAACAGTTTAAAAGCACCTAAAGCCTCAGACTTTTGTTTAAGAAAATACAACCATGTATATCTTGTGTGAGAATCAACAAAAGCAATATAATACCTAAAACCATAACTAGATGGAGAGGGGGAAGGACCCCAAAGATCAGTGTATATCACATCAAAAGCTTTACTATACACATGATGTGTAAGAGGGGCATGAAGCCTATGAGCCTTACCAAGATTACATGATTTGCAAAAACTGTTTTGTTTATTTGAATGAGGAATATTACACAACTTTAGTATATGAGCAACAAATGAAGAGTTAGCATGTCCTAGCCTATGATGACAAAGCATACTATTATTACATGTATTATCTATAGAGCAATCCAACTGACAAGTAGGTGTAGATTGCACAACTGTATAGCTTTGAACCTGACATGACTTATTCAATGTGGTATGCAGACTGTGAGACCTTAAGGACTCCAAAGGTAGAAGAGGAAAGCAGTAGAGACCATTGGCATCTAGGACTCCTTCAACCAGAATTTGTCTAGAAGCCTGAGATTTAATATAGCATTTGTTAGACAAAAATTCAAAGATGACATGATTATTATGAGAGAATTTGGAAACAGAAAGAAGATTTCTAGTAATAGCTAGTACATGAAGGATATCATTCATTGTCAACTTGCATTTAGGCATAAGTGGAGAGCAAAATCTTGTGTACCCTATAGAGTTAATGGTGAGTGTGTAACCATTACCTACATAGATTTTGTCATTGCTTGTATATACCCTAGAATTTTGTAAATAAGAGGCATATGGAGTAAGGTGATGAGATGCACATGAATCCATAAACCATGCTTGGGAGTCCAATTCTGCAGGAAGATTATACTGCTGAGTTGCGCCAATAGACTTGGTTGTAGCAACCATCATTGCTACAGCTTGTGAATTTTGAGATTTGTCTGTAGACTGCTCTTGACTTGACTCCATGTTACTGCTTGACTTATCTTGAGTTTCATTAGGATTGAGAGGCATGAAGTTTTCATCAAACCTGTGCCAGCAAGAGGATACAACATGACCATATTTGCCACATAGTTGGCATGTAGGTCTGTTACTATTGGGAGGCCTTGTTCTTCCCTTGCCTCTACCTCTAAAGGGTCTAGAGTTCCTGCCATGGTTGGGTGTGTAATCCCTCTGTGAGCTTGAGTTTCCATGACCTGTGTGAGCAAGATTCACAGCAACATTGGATGCAGCTTGATCATGTTGAAACTTCTCCAGCTGAGCTTCTTGAACATATAACAGGGCTTTAACATCACAAAGAGATGGTGGAACTGGAGTACCATACATCTGCATAACAAAAGGATTGTATTCCTCAGGAAGACCATCAAGAATAACATCAACTTGGTCTTGCTCAGTGATGGAATCTCCAACAGCTAAAAGTGAATTTGCTATGGCTTTAATTCTGAGCACAAACTCAGTTATTGTGCTAGCTCCTTTCTTGGTGGATTTTAGTTCCACTCTCAATTGTCTAACCCTAGCCTTCATCTGTGCTGTGAAATACTGATGAATTTTGTCCCAAACTTCGTATGCATGTTTACACGCAAGAACACGTGGAAGAATCGATTATGATATTGTTGAGAGTAACCAAATAAACACAACTTGATCTTGAACTAACCACATTTCATATTCATCAGAAATCGTACCTGTGATACGATCTTGCGTGGTTGCATATTTCGGCAGAATCTGCAGATTGACAACAGCACGATGCATCTTCTGTGTCAAGATAACTCCTTCGACCTGTTGGTTCCATAGGAGGTAGTTGTTTTCTTGCAGCTGAATGGAGAGTTTTGGACCGAATCGATTGTTTGATTTCATTGTGCCAAATCCAGGGATGCCTTGTTGCGATGGAGGTGAGTCTTTGACACCTGATTCTTAATTGTCGCCGGATTCCATTGTTGCCGTTGAACAGAGCTAGAGCAAAAAAGAACTTGCAAGGTTGACGCAAAGTAGAACAACTCCAAGAATGGAAATACAGAGCTGGGAGAGAAGATAGGGATGACGGAAGCGTGTTAGATCGTGGCGGCGAGTGATACCATACTAGAGTTGATGAAGATGAACATGGAGGTTCATCCTTAAGTAGCAGAATTCTGTTACATATGAGAGAGAGAGAGAGAGAGAGAGAGAGAGAGAGAGAGAGAGAGAGAGAGAGAGAGAGAAGTACAAAGGATATGAAATAGTATATTGTTATTGTGTATTATTTACTCATCAAGGTACCCTATATATACATAGTTTCTATTCAAGGGTGGAGACTTTTTTTCTCTTCATACTTATCTCTAATATACTTTGAGGTGGTTATGCCAGGATAGTTTATAGACCACTTCTATTGTACTATACTCGTATATTACATTCTAAACAGATGATATATGGGTGTCACATCTAAGCTAGCCATTGATTACACATTAAACTATTTATTAATAAAACTCTACTTTCTATTTTCTTCTAATTCAATTAACACAATGAACCAATTATTACACTTAATCCTTTGATAAAATAATTTTTATTTGATTCAAAATGCAGAACAAAATCATTTCAAGGAAGAAACTAATCAAAAACAAACATTTCAGAAACATTACAAAAGAAATTATTAACATTTTGGCATAGGCAGAGTTTGAGCAAACAAACTACATACTTTGTCAAAGTAGAGCTTTTATTCTCCAAGTGAAAAAACCAAGTCTATATGACTTTGTCTAGCATCAAGCTTATTAAAACTAGTTTGTTTTCTTAATCTTAATGAGCCTTAAGCTATAGTAGTTGATGTACATGGTTCATAACAAAAGTCAGTGATATCAAGACAATCACACTTCAAAGGTAATGTCTCAAAACACCTACAAGACTTGCAAGCTGAGTGACAAGTTGGTTTAACATCAGTACAGCGACACTGAGGAGGTATTGATTTTGTGCAACCACAATTATCACAACAAGGTGCACATGTTGTCGATTTGACACCATTGGATAGCACTTGAGTGATGAGGGAGTTTGGTTCAAAACGAGCTTCAGTAATTGTGGCCAAACTCAAGAATAAAAATAACAAAGCTATCTTCATCTTCAACTCCATCTCTCAATTTTTTTCTTTCCTTAACTGTATAGGAAGAAGATGCATATAATACTATTGCATTTGCCTATTTATAGATATATTGAATTTTGAAAAATGAGGCTGATATAAAGTTATTAATTAACTAGTGACAATGTCTTACTTTGCTTCTTTTTATATATAAATGTGTCATAATCTTGCACAAAAATACACATTATATAGGTGTTGTCATTTTGCTATACAGCGATGTGGATAATCTTGGTGAGAAATTTCATGACATTTTTTTATTGTTCATTCATCAATTAGCCACCCGCTTGCATAAGACTATTATAATAAAGGGTTTGTTTGCACAATAAGATAAATTTTAGCTTTTGATATTAACAAGTGGTTGGTAAACTCATGAGTTAATCCAGACTTGGATTTTGGGTCTTGAGAGTTAGTATCTTTTAAGGTTTAGGTATAACTTCTGTTAGTTAAAATCAATCTTTATGTTGGGCTATATTATGCGGATGTTTGTTTTGACTTTAAACATAACATCCCATTAGTAGACGGTGAGATTTATCCTCTTGAATTAGTCGGTAACAAATCGGATATCAAGATTTAAAAAAAAAACGTGGTTGGTTTCGTTGGGATTGAGGTTTTTTTTTTTTTTTACGTAGAGAAATGTTAGTCTATTCATGCTAATTGGAGAGGGTCATTTTAAGGTTGAGAGAGAAAAAAGAGAGTAGAAAATCAACTTTAAAAAAAGAAATGAAAAGAGAAACCAGTTGTCTCTCCAAAACAACGATGTCGAATTCGTTAACCGTTGGAAATGAAGTCTGAGCTAAGAGATATTTTCTTCTCGCAGTCACTTAAGCTGCACTTTTAGATATTTTTCAACTTCTCTTTTCTTATTTGTAAACTAGTTTGCTTTGTAGTTTAGCTATTATTAGTATTAGTTTGTGCATTACATTGAAATTATTTTATTCACTTATTTGATTATAGTTGAGATATTTATGTAGTATGAAGGACCTGTGGTTTTTCACTCTCATATTGAAAATTCTCCACGTTAAAATCATAATATATATATATATATATATATATATATATATATATATATATATATATATATATATATATATATATATATATATATATATATATATATATATATATATATATATATATATATATATATATATATATATATATATATATATATATATATATATATATATATATATATATATATATATATATATATATATATATATATATATATATATATATATATATATATATATATATATATATATATATATATATATATATATATATATATATATATATATATGTTTAAAAGTTAAAAATTTATGCAATTTATTTCCTCAGCGTATTACTCCGTTATTGTGTGTCAATACCATTAAAGTGGTATAAGAACTCTTGTTTATGGATTATATTACTTATTTGAATAATGAAGTCAAATACAAAAATGAATATGGTATTGTTGAATGGTACTAGTTACCATTTGTCGAAGGGAAATACGAAAGACTTACTATTTATGAAGAAATTGCATTTACTAATTTTTAGTTCCACAAAACTAATTTTTAGTTCCACAAAAGTTTGTTCCAACTTTCAAAATTTGCATTTTGGCAACAAAAAAAAAATCTGTTTTGCCTATTTATGACTTGGGGTTTTTTTGCACAAGTCTTTGCAACTTAAATTCATCCAAGTGAAAGCTTTGTTCTTGCAAAGGAGTAGCGGTAACCAGAGGATCAATTAAAAGACTTGGGGGGGCAAGATTTCGCAATTTGGATTCAACCGAGTGAAAGCTTTGTAGAACGGAGGTTCGATCAAAGGAGTAACAGTAACTGGAGGATGAAATTAGAGCTCTTGTGTGACTTGATATTGCTTAGATCAAGGGAAGAGAAAAAGCTAGGATCAACATCAAACATAGGGTTTAGGGGTTCGAATTGCTACTACTGCTCTTGTAACTTGATATTGCAAAGGTTAATTACAATATCTCAATTAGACTTTGAATTAAGGGAAGACATACCCATAGTGAAGATAATTAGGGAATCACCTAAATAAGGGCAGACATACCCAGGGCTTTGACCTGTTTCAGAAGGAGATCTGTAACTACAACTAGGACTGGATGGTGGCAACCCAACATGTTGTGATTGACATCTATGATTTTATGCAGGTATTGTAGTTGTAGTGTAGAAATCCCTCTATGGAGCATTCTATGATGATTAGGGAGCAGTTCCTAGCTCATACTACTTGACTTGAGACCATACCATATTTTAGTGAGGGGACAGGTGTAGCTGATCCTAAGGATGTAACACCCCCTTCCTATACCCCCAAATAAACAATCAAATCAATTAGACACATAATAAAAATTTTCATCAGAGTATAAATTAACACATGGTATAAAAGAGGTACGTCAGATTATCCAGGAAATTCAAAACACATACAACACCTGCTCATAAAGATATGCAACAGAGGGTAAATCACCACAAAGGAACTTAGTCCTTAAAACCCACACATCAATATTTAGAATAAAAGCGAAAACATCTAAACATTGAACCACTTCATTCATATAAACATTGTATACATCAACAGTTTAATTCAGGTCATAAATCATGTTTACAAAACAATCCGGCAGATACATACACAGATGTATCACAAAAGAACCAAAAGAATTCCTAACTACCTGGTGCTACATATCAGAGCCAACCGACCAAAAAGAATGAAGTCACGCTTCACAAAAGACCTTCAGCAACCTACTCTGCAATGCCTCATAGAGCATCATAAAACAGCAGAAGGGTGAGAAACATTATCATAAAAAACAATGCATATAAAATATATATCTACATACACCAACTTAGAATACACATACCACATTTCTCACCGCAATACATTATAATTCAATCATATACATATCGCAACACATATATAATTCACCAAACATATCCACCACACAAACGTTCACCACTAAACATATACAATTATGTTCATTACACCGATATATCATATGAAGATAATAATGCACTCATAGAGACCGACTCACGACTCTATGCAGATGCAAATGCGGTACCGACTCATTCAGCAGGTTCAATTGAAGAACCAAATGGAACCATCGCTCGTTACCGAAGTAACTCCCCGTCGGGCCTACGATGTTCACCCATCGCTCACACCCCACATGGGCACACGATGTTTCGGGATTGCTCACACCCCACAAGGGCACACAATCGTTCTGCAGATTCTCCACGGAATCAAAATAAACTATCGCTCACACTCCACAAGGGCACACGATGTTTTTGCAGATCCTCTTAGGGATCAAAGACAAACCATCGCTCACACCCCACAAGGGCACATGAGGTTTCTGCAGATCCTACGCGGGATCAGACACACAAGAATGCAATCATGATGCTTCATAAACAAAACGAATCCATACATTCTTGAAATGCATACATATACACGAATATATAATCATGCATTTTCACTCAATTCAAACAATTGCACAAAATTGCCAAACGGCCACATTTCACACTTCACGATTCACAATCTAGGATTCACGCCATACGGCTACCCACAACATTCCATATCACACACACAACTATGCATAATAAGAAGGATTAATCATACTTGAATCGAAGAATCGACATGGAAGTGAAAACACAAGAAAATAACATCCTGCTACGCTCGCTACACTGTTCGCCTAGAGAACTCCTAGCGAGTACTCGCTTCCTATTCGCCTAGCGAACAAGCTCGCGAAGGCAAACAGAAGCCACTGACTTGATTCGCTACCACACTCGCTCAGCGAAGGCCTGGCGAATGCTTTCCACCCCCTTCGCTTCCAGCGAAGAACACCAAAAACCATTCTGCCCAAGTCTGGGACCGTTCGCTACAGGCTCACCCCAGCGAATGCTCGCGACCCGCTCGCCTAGCGAACGTGATAGCGAGGGTCTACGAACTCAGAATCCCTACTGTCCAAAAACTCCAAAATTCATCGAAATCTACCTGATTCAATCCCTACTCGTCTTAGTAGTCTTAGCCCAACATTCCTTGACTAAACTCTACCACTCATTCTCATTTCTAACCGTAAAAACTCGGTTTCTAACGATTAAATCAAATTCAACCTAAAACGGAAAATGAGCAAAACTCTCCCCAATCCAAAAGCAAACTAATAGAAACATACATAATCATACACATCGAAAGAATAATAAAGTTTCACACCCTTACCCGATTAATCGAAGCTTAGAAGTTTGATTCTTGATGATTCTAGGTTTTCTCCTCTTCCTCTTCTTTTCTCTTCTCTTCTCTTTCTATTTCTTTCTATCTCTTTTCTTTTCTCTCTATTTCCACTTATACTCTTTCTATTCTATTTCTCTCAAATGTCTACTAATTAAGGATTATCTAAAACACCCTCTAACTAATTCCCAAAACTCTCCGAATAATAAAATAACATAATAAGCACACATAACATATTAATGTTCAAATTTCACAATTAAAAGAATAATTCAATCAAAATAAATTAAAAGACTCAACAAAAATAGGAAATTCAGAATCGGGGCGTTACAACTCTCCCCCACTTTAGAAATTTTCGTCTTAAAAAATATTACCTGATCCAAACAATTCCGGATGCGACTTCCGCATCTTACTCTCCAATTCCCAAGTCATGTTGAGCTTCTGCAGCACCTCCTCATGCTACTTTCACAAGTGCAATATCCTTGCCCCTTAGCCTCTTAATTTCACGATCCAAAATCCTAATCGGTGAAACCTCAACCGTAAGATTATCTCTTACTTCGACTTCGTCCATAGGAATAACATGTGACGGATCCGGAACATACTTCCGAAGTTGCGAAACGTGGAACACATAATGCAAATTCGAAAGATTCGGAGGCAACGCCACACGATACGCCACAACACCCACTCGTGCAATAATCTGATACGGACCTATAAAACGAGAAGTCAACTTCTTCGACTTCAAGGCACGACCCACACCCGTAACCGGTGTAACTCTCAAAAACACATGGTCACCT